CTAATTTCAGAAGAGAAAATTAGAGAAATATAATTAAGAAGAATCCGAACAATTATTCATTTCAAATTAAAATACATGAATTTATTTATATTAATATACCTTTGAGGAATTTCACCTGTTGGAGGAGGCAAGGGCAATGGCATGTAAAAGTTTTATGCCTTGTAAGTGTGTTTGAGTGTGAACTTGTAAGTTTGTTCTTTAAATGTAAAACTTTTTGTTTAACTCCAATAATTCAATTTCAAATAAAAAACAAAGCATGGCATTACAACTGTTAGCAGAGTGTTTAGCCACCAAAGCAAAACATGTAATGCTGGCATTTTACTAAGAAAAATGAGATTCAGTCGAAGTGAGATTCTCCATAAACTCTATATCCTCACCTCAGTTTAACATCAATTATCCTTACCAACATTACAAAACATTATTAAAAAAACATGAAGTAGCAGAGAATCGATAGAGTTTTGAGATCTCCTTAGCATTTCTCTTTTATTAATTTAGTAGGGGGAGTTTTAAAAACTGATGGAAATTTGGGGGGCTTTGGTTTTTAGTAACAGAGTGTTTTGGCGTAACATGGACATTCCCTTCCTAAGGAATCCGTTTGGGGATTAGTTAACAAATCGTTTTTGCGTGTCTCTGGCGTTTTAGGATTGGATTTTCCATACCCTATTCCCTCACAGGCTCCTTCACTGACTTCTTTGATTAATTAATTACGTTTTTCTTGCTTAGTTTAATCAAAAAGAAAGGAATCCTATATCCGGATCCCTTTCACTATATCCATCAAGGCACATAATCCGAACTTTAAAATTTGATCAAACGGCTACAAATAAAGATCTATTTTAAAATTTATAATAACCATAACCGTTTGATCAAATTTTAAAAATCTGAATTGTGTACTTTGATGGAAGAAATCCGGAGAGAATCAATTTCCTAATCAAAATATTAGGAACCAACTAATTAGTAATTAGATTTCTCCATGACTTTTACGCCGTGGACGCGTGTCCTTTTCCCCAAGGAATCCGCGCTCCATCACGTGATCGAAAATGTCTGCCTACCACATCGTCAGCCTCCCAAATCACGTGGCCAACTCACACTTGGATCGCGGTGGGCGCCACTACAACTATTACGCGATCCCGTTTCTCCTTCTATTTTATTTCCGTCAAAAGAAATAAAATAAAATAAGTTAACGGCGTTAGTTCAGTTCGTGAAGTTCCCAAATCAATTTATTTGAAAATGCCAGACACAACAGGATATGGTAGGGTTTGAGGAGTCTTACACTGTACATAAATATATCGTTATATATAAGTGTCTCAAATTCACACGCTGAGTCGCCAAATTGATTAATAATTTTATTAGATTTTGAAAGATCGTATAATCAGTCATTACTGTAGTGTTTAACGCGTCGCACATTGTTTTGTAACGAATGTCGAAATTTTTTTTTTGTTGAAAATGAATGCTAAACATGGATATTGGCACTGTTGCACTCCTCGTTGTGGGGAAGAGTTATTGAGAGAACAATTTTCTTACTCTTTGAAACACAATTAGAGTCACGTGTCAAAGAAACATGAAAATACATAAAAACTGCTTTATTCATTTGAGATATCACGGTGACGCATTCTTTACGCATCAAGAATGTTAATAAGTCATTTTTTGCCGTTGGGGATTTTTTGGGCACGAGAAAACTGGGAAGGGCAGTTTTCGGTGCAAATAGGCTTACCCATGTGATATGCATACGTATGTTTTCACAACGACGTGATGGGACCCCCTCCCACTAAGACAAAGAGAGCAAGGGAACGAAACGGACGGCTAAGCACTATGCACGTGAGCAGGTGACCCCTCACGTCTCACGTGCGCCCATCCCCTGCCGTTCAGAGCAATTTCAATGTGTGAGGGTACTCCATGTCAATTGATAATTGAATTTCCTTCAGTGGATAGTAATTATTTTTAATGAACCGTAGTTATTTTTTAACTGATTTCGTCACGCCACGTGTCATTATTCGAAAGTACAATTTTTTTTAATAGAATTCAATAAGATTTTTAACTAATTTCGTCGCGCAACATATCCTTATCTATTTAGTAACGTTGAAAATATTGAAATGTGGTGTAAGGTGAGAGAAAATGAAAAGGTATTTATTAAAAAAATTATATAATTTTTTGATTTGTTTTTAAATTTTTTTTTGGGTTTTTAATTAGTTTTAAAAAAATTATTAACTTAATTAATTTGGACAATAGGATTACAAAAAATTTGAAATCCAACAGTCCAAAATGAGACATGTGGCCCATCTAAACATTTCTGATTTTTTTTTTCTTTTTCTAAAAAAATTGTAAAGCTGAAAAAGCTGGACAGTTGATCTCAAATCAAACGATCCAGATTCAAAGTGACTGAATGGGGCTGACACGCGGGCCCCACGCGCCTGACACAATTTTTTTATAATGTGGCTGACGTCACTTTCCTTCAGCCACTCAAGTTGTGAACTCCTGTCTGACCTCTCCCACATACTCCCCCTTAGCCCAATAGCCTGAAAGGGCTGGTGGAGGGCAATTGGATTGGATTTGTTGCCAATCTCCATGACTAAATACCACAGTGGAGCTGCTCATGGTTCATCAGTTCTGCCGCCTCCTCGCGTGTGGTGGGGACCCCATCTCTCACCACGCCTATCGCCTACATCTTTCCTTCCCTTTATAACGCCGTCATACGCCGGTACAGTCTGTTAACGTCGTTTATTTGTACGAAATACCTGATCAACCCCTTGGAGTCTTGCGTGATGCCGTTGGTGAAACGAGGATAATTTGGGTATTGAAATGATGAAAGGAGCATGGGCATGGCCGCATCATAAGTGGATTGGAATTTCATTGGTTAGGTGGCTATCCTAGCTTAGGCCATAGGCCTCTCTCTCTCTCTCTCTCTCTCTCTCTAACCGAGCACGTGTTAGGCGGTGGCGCGGTCACTCTCTTTCTCGTGACGGTGTCACGTGCGGATGGAAGGTGGGGCCAGCGTATTTCCCATCCCGGAAAAATGAGGGGAAAGGCAAAAAAATTCGAGTGGGGGCATGTGCCCGGCTCTCCCAAGTGACATGTCGTTTAGGGGTTGCGAAAGGGGCGTGGTGGGTGACGCGGCGAGGTCACGTGGTGGTATTGCGTGCGCTTTTGCCTGGTCCTTACAAGTTCGACGTGGCCCCTTGAGGGGTGGGACAAGTGACGCCGTCAACCGTGGCAACTGGCAAATAAATTTTTGTTTGGAATTTGGCATGGAATATCAGATGATTAGGGTTTCGGAGGGTTTCGCTATTAGGCGGCACTTGCCAGAGTTTTGAGCACATTGCGACTTGTTGTGTTGTGTTAGGACCACAAAGCTCTGTTTGGATGTCACATGGTGTGATATGAATTATGATTGCCTAGTTATGATGTTGGAATTTGGATGGTGTTGCTACAAACTCATGATATGGGCACACTACATGTGGATATTGGCCATGCTAGCATTCTCGAATGCGAGCATTTGGACCACGTGACTTGTCCTTATGCATCAAATCTTTATACTTACATTAGACTACGACAAAGTTAACTGAAGTGCGAGTGGGGTGGGAAATGGGGGTTTTTATAGGTATGTGGTCGTATGGCTGACAGGGTCCAACTCAGAGCCAAGAATTTCTCCCGACCTGTATGCTTTATGTTTAAAACAGAATTGCGACAACCCTACTGAATACTCTCTCTCTCTCTCTCGATATAGAGCTCAACTAGTTCAACTTGGGTTGAGCAAGTTTAGGTTTTGGGTCACCACAACAAGAAGAGACTATCCAAAATTATGTTGGATGCCCTTTACTACAGTGCTGGAAAGGAGTTGAGCCCTTACATAACAGCGTGGGATCGAACCCTGTCGATAGCTAATCTAACAAAATCCATAGTTTGACAAAAACAAAATGATGTTGGATCATGAAGCCCACCTCAAAACGAGGATGAGAATTTGGCCCACGTAAGCTGCACTTCAAAAAATATGGACCTTTATGTACGTGGTGTAACGGATTGGGAGCCCACTATAAAGCCCAGTACATAGAAATCATTTTATTTACTTATCTTGTTTCCCTAAAATTGTTGTAACACCTTCTAATTCGTAGCTTTAATTTTATGAATACCTATGAGATTGGATTGAATACCTGGTATAACAAAATGTGTGTCGTTGGGTTGAATTGTCATGTGCTTATATATTTGAAGTTTGAGTATGATGTGTGACAAATGTTTACACCGATCTGAAGTTATATGATATTACGTGATTTCGTTTTTTATTTATTTAGTTCTTTAAGTACAAATAAATATACAATTTTACAATATGAATTCTAAGTCCTTTGAATATAGCGCGAGGCGTTGGAACTTGGGTGTAAGAAAGTGAACGCACTACTTTATTCAACTAACATAACACACACTGTTACAACTAAATGAATCATGATTTGTATGAATGGGGAGTATTGGTCAAGGAAAATAGCTTTCACACTCATTTTCTCCGCATGCACATCATGTTTATTTCTTACCATTGGATTGACTAAAGTTTATTTTTTACCAATGCCCTTGGAGCTTGATTTTGTTCATACTTTTTTCTCCTAAAAGTCAAAGGTAACAACTTTACACTTTTGAGTCTCAATATTTGCTCCGCCCCGGCTAAATTCAGTCTATTCCATCAAAATGACAATATTACCCTAACATGTCAACATATTTGACGCCATTTTTTTTGCAAAATAGACGAAATCCTGCCAAAGTGAAGCGAATATCAAGTTTCAGGATGTAATTTAACAACTTTTAATTTCAAAGGGTAAAATAAGATCATAATCGAGTTCCAGAAAATATACTAAAATTAAATCATTGAATAAACTTAAAAAACGGCGCATAAAAAAAAGAGAAAAAAATATTTACATAAAACCCGTTCACCGTCGCACGGTCGAATAATTCAGGTTGGTTTTAAGGACAAACGACTTGAAATAAAAATCTGATTTGGATAACATTGTAAACTAAATATTCCCTGTCGGCCAGCCTGCCTCCCGCTCATCCTGTAGGCCGGTAAACAAGCGGCAAATGTAATTACATACGTACACGATAAGATCCCCTCCTCCCGTCCCGCCAAAAATATTTCCACGCATCCGACGCGCGATTCTCCGTACAGATTCATCATGATCTTAATCAACAGCCATGATCACGTCCTTCTCTCGATCCTACGGTCGGTATGATCAGGTGTTTGTCGTAAATTCACGAAACATGGAACCGACGTGGAAGATAGAGAGAGAGGATTTGGAGCTTTTTGGAGAAGACCGACGCTGTGCTGGAAGAAGAAGCCGTGATCCTGATGGCTGAATCATAGCCGTCGGATCTTCTCCATGTCCTCTGATGATCGTCAGCTCTTCTTCTCCTTCTTCTCTCTCCGTGCATCTCGCTGATCTCGCCGTCGGAGATTTTTGATTTCGGAGACCGCCGGTGAGGTTTCAATGTTTGATATCTTCTTTTGGTTTCTCATTTTTCAATTTGATTTTCTTGCTGTTTGTGATTTATATTTTCTCTGCGTAATCCTCCGTTTGGTTGGCGAGAAACTGCGGGAAAGTGAGCCAAACAGCAATGAACTTTTTTATTTTTTGTTTCAAATTTTTAGTAGATTGAGATTAAATACTCGAATTTTTCTGAATATCTGTACGATTTGGCGTAATTTTTATTTTTTTCCTGCGCATTTTTCCAGCAGCTTTCTCAGCAACCAAACAGACAGTAAGACCAGTAAAAGAAAATTCAATGATCTTTGTGTACACTAAAAATAGTCAATTTTGTGAGAGTAATCAAGATTTAGGCATTTTCTGGAGAAATTAAAAAGTTAGAAAGCTTGATTACAAGTAGTTTGAGGATTTTGTCTTACTTCTTGTTAATATGATGGATGAAACAAGACGTATTTACACCGTTTCTTGGCAGGTTTTCGGTTTGCTGAATCGATTTTATAGAGTAATGTTAGCATAGTTTATGAGTGATTCGCGGCCATTTGTCTCTCTCGTTCAATTGGTGTCATCGATTTTGACACCTGCTGAGAGAGTTGAGGATTTGCACCCTGATATCGTATCAACCGCGCGATTCAGTAAGGATTTTCATCCTTATTTGATGGCTACAAAGTTGGAGAGTCCTGTTAAGGCCCAGATGGCTGTGACACTGCTGAATGGCGACTGCCTTGAGAGGGCGAGAGGCAGTCTTGCTCGGAGGAGGCGTGTCTTTGTGCAGACTGAGACTGGGTGTGTTTTGGGAATGGAGTTGGAAAGGGGTGACAATGCCCACACGGTTAAAAGGAGGTTGCAGCTTGCCCTCAATGTACCTACGGACCAGAGCTCTTTGACCTTTGGGGATCGTATATTGAACAATGATCTTAGTGCCATTGGCAATCGTTCAACGCTACTACTTGCTAGGAATGTCATGAACAGAAGCTCGTCAACTCCTTGTCTGTCACCTACTGGGCAAAATCTGCAGAGGGATCAGAGTGAGTCTATTGAGGTTTTGGGGTGTCCAAATAATTTTGCGAGAATTGATGAACTGGTTAAGGAGATTGTGGTTGCTATCAAGAAGGGTGTTGATCCGATCCCCGTGCATAGTGGGCTTGGTGGTGCCTACTACTTCAGGAACATCATGGGCGAGAGTGTTGCCATCGTGAAGCCAACAGATGAGGAGCCATTTGCACCGAACAACCCTAAAGGCTTTGTAGGCAAGGCACTCGGGCAGCCTGGCCTGAAGCGTTCAGTGCGAGTTGGGGAAACGGGGTTTCGAGAAGTTGCTGCCTACCTTCTGGATTATGATCACTTTGCTAATGTGCCTCCAACTGTTCTTGTGAAGGCTGCACATCAAATCTTCAATGTTAATTATGGCGTCAATGGAGATAAGATTCAGAAGAAGAAAAGGGTTAGCAAGATTGCGTCTCTGCAGGTCTTCATCCCTCATGACTTTGATGCCAGTGACTACGGAACTTCAAGCTTTCCCGTATCAGCCGTTCATAGAATAGGCATTTTAGACATTAGGATCTTTAACACTGACAGGCATGCTGGGAACCTTCTGGTTAAAAAGCTTGATGGGGAGTTTGGTAAAGTGGAGCTCATTCCAATTGACCACGGACTTTGCTTGCCGGAGCACTTGGAAGATCCATATTTTGAGTGGATTCATTGGCCTCAGGCATCAATTCCTTTCTCTGAGGATGAGCTTGAGTATATACGTAATCTTAATCCAATTTGTGACTCCGAGATGCTGAAAATGGAGCTGCCCATGATCCGAGAGGCATGCCTTAGAGTTCTGGTCCTGTGCACAATATTTCTCAAGGAAGCTGCTGCTTTTGGACTCTGCCTTGCTGAGATTGGTGAGATGATGAGTAGGGAGTTTGGAGGACAAGAGGAGAAACCAAGCAAACTTGAAGCTGTATGCCTCGAGGCCAGGAAGATCATAGCAGATTTGAACTTGTCAACCTTTGAGGCGGAAGAAGGAAATGAAGAGTTTCTGTTTGATATAGATTGTGAGAATGCTGGGATTCTTGATCCTTCAGACGTTATGTCACGTCACTTCTTTGATCAGGTTTCATATCCTTTTGGGTCTAGAGGCGCTGATGGTCGAAACTTGCTGTCCAAGCTAGATGAGTGTTTGGAAGAGGATGAAGTTGGGGCAGACGGAATCACTATCCAGCCAAATTTGTATCAAACTGCTTCAAAATTGCCCCTTCCTCCGAAAAGAATAGATGTGGATGGGAGAAGCCGGCTCCAGCGAGCTGCAACCATATCCGGAATCAGAAGAAGTGCAAATGATCAGTTACCAACCTCACCATGCTTCGTGAAGGTTGCTGACATGAGTGAGGAGGAATGGATTCTGTTCCTTGAAAAGTTCAGGGAGCTTCTTTACCCCGCCTTTGGCAACCAAAGGTCTGCAACCCTCAGACAGAGACAGAGACTTGGAACATCTTGCAGATTTTAACCTAATTCGACTACTAGTTTGACATAGAAGCGCGGAACCGCAGAGTACAAGCAGCCATCAGTTTTTGTTGGGGGATTTGGGGATTCTCTAATTTCTGCAGCAACCAAGAACATCGTCATCAGCGGTATAAGCAGTCTTCAGTACAGTTATGTAGATAGTTTTAGAATCAAGAGGGATCCGGGATCAGCTCGAGTGCAGGAATAAAGATCACAAATCGGTCTTCTTCGTTTTCTGTTTCATGCTTGTAGTTTCCTTTCAGTTGTAGAAAACTAGAGAAAGTACAGATAGAAATGGGAAAAAGCAAATACAGTATGGTTTTTATATATATATATTGCTAGTAGTTTCTTTAAATTGATCAGAGTAGTGTGTCCAACTCCTTACCCTTGAGTTAAATACGGGATGAATCTCGATATGCTAGATTTCCTTGAATGCCAAGACTCTTGGAAAACAAAAGATTTCGGGTAAATTAGTTAACTTCTGTTTCAAGTAACACATTTGTTTCATCAAAAGCCATTCTTTGGATGCTCCGAGAGTGTATAAAAGCAGATGTCCCAATTAATTAACCACGACAGGCAAGTCTGTGGCAAAAGATGTCACACATATGCACTTGACGTGTGACGTCCTTTGTCATATGCAAAAGACATGATTAATTAACCATGACAGTCAAATATGTTTGATTAATCACAAGTTGATTTCGATAACTTCCCATTTGGCTATTTGTCAAAAATCCATCATTTGCCCCCTACCCCCCAAATACAGTACTTTTGTCCTTTCTGTTGGTATTTAAGTTCTTGTTTTAGCTTGCTTATATTTAGAGAGATTATATTCACACACCTCAAATTAATTCTCTCACATATTTTTTATTTTTTAATATTTTCTACACACCACTAACACTTGATAGAAAAATATTAAAAAATTAAAAAGATGTGGGAGAAGTAATTTATGTGTGTGAATATAATCTTTCATATTTATTACTCGATTCTATCATATAGAAGCCAAACATAGTAAATAATAGGTTGCAGCATTGTGAGGCTAAGTTCACACCGTTCCTTTAGTGTAGATAACGATATTATCTATACTAAGGGGGAGGGGCTGAGCTAAGCATCACAATTAGCTAACAATAATGTAGTTCAAATTTACATTTGGAGAAAATCGAACTTAACACCTCTCACTATTACAGGTGAAGAGGAATACTACTAGACTATAATAAATAATAGTTTATTAGTTAATAAAATAACAAATGAAAAGAAAAACCCTTAAAAAAATATATATTTAGAAGGAGGGAGAATTAACCTTCAAAGCAAGAATGTTCTTAACTAACTGAATTTCAAATTTACAAGCCCTTGTAAATGAGAATAAAGAACATGATTTGGGTGGCTTGAGAAATTTGAACAAATATATAAAACAAAATATATAGCTTTGAACATTAATTCTATATTTCCAAACTTGCTTCTCTGTCAAAAATGCTTACATAACCGGAAATTGTAGCCTTAAAAGTAAAATAAATAAACAAACCAACAAAATCCACGAAGACAAAACACACTCTGTGTGGAAAACCTAGCTAAAACAAGAAACAGTGAAGAGTAAGACAAAACTTTGTGCCCTAAAACTAACTCTAAATTCAAGCCGCCGGCGGCCACTTCACCAGTGCTCTGCAGATCTTCGATCCTTAGTTATTCTTAGGTGGATGAGGTTTTGGGACATGGTAGTCAGCATCGAAAGGTATAAACCCTGGTATTTTAACCTTCACACGACCACTACTACTTGCACTTCTCAATCTACGTTCCCCATTGCTTTTCAACACTTTCACTTTCACCATTCCCAGATTCCTTTCTGGCATCATTTTCCTCCCCCCAATTCTTGTATCTTCAGCTTCTTCCACAGCAGCGGGAACGCCGTCATGAATTTCCTGAAAACGTAGTAGTTTTTCTTGGAATTGTAAAGATCTGTGTTTAAAGTGATGCTTAAGGGAAGTGATTTTTTTACATTTTTCACCTGCAAATCATGCTTATTTATGGTTTTTGAATTGATAATCAAATGACAGAAAATAAACAGGAGTATGCATAAGAATAAACGGATTGGTGAAAATCATTTCCCATCTGTATAATAGCTAGTGTACCCTTTCAACATCGACGAGGCTTCTTCTCAGCACTACTAAATGACCAGTTTCATCAGCAGCCAGCACTACTTTGTTCATAGCTACATGAAGTATACAGAAAAATCGATTAATAAGGAGATAAGCATATAAGAAAATAAAATCGATTACGCATACACAGAGATTATCTCTAACTACTTTGAGAAAACCTACTTAATTATCAAGTCAAGAAATATTACCTCCGTGTGTATGAGCTGTAGATTGTATTAGATGTAGCAAAATGAAGACAGGAACAAAGGTAATCAGCTTGAAAGACGCCATTTCTGAGTTCCTTTCTTCTTTGGTATGTATATATGTAATGTGTATGTTTTTCTAACTTCGAAAGCTATCAAAAGACAGGAACCCTAGCTAGTGAAAGGGAAGAAGATCTTCATATATATATAAAGATCAAACCGTCAAAGTAGCAAAGCTACGGCTAGTACTAGTCAACACTTTGCCTTTCTTTTCTCCATCTGTCGTAGTATTAAAATATGATTACGGAGTTTTTGGCAGAGGTACAGTTACCTGGGAAAAAGGATCGATGAAGAGAAAACAAAAGTAACAGAAAACAAAGCACTGTTCAAAGTTTTGGTTAATGTAAAAGTTGACACAATGGTTTTTGCGAGGGTTGGCAACTTGGCAATATATATTTCTGCAATTTTATATGAGAAGAGTTAACAGTATTTGTTAGGAAAAGCGCTGTGAGCGCGTGGAATGGAAGATACGGTGTTCAGCGCCTGTCTGCCGCCGTGCATGCAACGAGGAGGCTTCTTTTCGTGGCCAAGGTTGGCCGCATACAACTTAACCCTAGGGTTTCGGGCTTTATAGTAATTTTATTTAGTTGTCGACTCTCCTCCCCATATAAACATGTCAGTCTCTCCTGGGGCAAATTAAACTAAACATGCAGGGTAAAAATTAAGGTGGAGTTTGAGAAGGAAGCACATGCTCCTCATTTGACCAAGTTGGTGTTTTGGTAATTTTCGAAGTGTGAAGAGAGGAAGATTTATGTAATTATATGTATAGTAAATTGGGTTATTAGATTTTTTCAGAAGGCTGCTTGAGAATGTCCACATGTGAGATTTTACTGATTTTATAAGGCTCCCCACCCCAAAAGTGGAGTCATCAACGGTGAAAAAAGGGGTTCAAACTTCAAACACCATTGTATGCATGAGAGTGAAAATTTTGTACATTCCCATCGATTTAGAAATTTGAGATATGTAACAGACGGTGAATCAGTTAATGGACTTAACATTCATCAAACTTACGTACTAAGAGGATGTATTTATATTATCTTCGTTCTTAAACGACTACATGAACAAAGAGAACGACGAAATACAAACCTGTGACGCATGAGTTATTTGGATAAAGAAATCATGTCGATCTTGTCTTTAATAACTTATTGAAATACTAATTTCTAGTGAGCATTCTTCTTGGTTTTGGTTGAAGAATTGTACCCGGATGTACGGTAAAAGAGCTAGCTTAATAAAGGGATTCTAAATGTATGTGGATATGATAAAGTTTAGACTACAAATTTCAAAATGCAGACAGCTTTTGGTTTGCGGGTTTGGCGTTCAAACATGGGGATTCAAATATAAAGGAAAGTTGGGTTGCCTTTATAAGACATGGTCACGTGCAACCTACCTTGCCATGCATATATGTGTGTGTGTGTGCGTGTGTCACATTTCAAAGAAACAATTGTGTATCATGCATCATTGAGATTCTAATATGCAGCTCAGTAACTCATAAAATGCCCCAATAGGAAACATAACCAGCCATTTTATGCAGATTGTTCCTACCTACGGAGAGAGCTTCAGTTTAAATGGTGGGCGCCATCCACTTATGTTTGTGATACTTATTTATATCGTGTGTCGTGTTCGTGTAGATCCACTTGTTGATTAATACGTATGTCAATATAAAACAACAGTTAATACTATTCATTGCAAAAACGAGAAAGGAGAAAATTATCGTTTTATTAAGATAATATTATGCGATGAGCAACGTTCATGTTTCATTCGTATATCATGTACTCATCGAATCATGTATTGGTACAAATTTTGAGTAGTGAAAATGTGTTAGCATCTGGATCTTGCAACCCCTCTTATCATTTAAATATACCACCTCATGTGTCTATATACTGGATAAACACAAATTTCAAAATTTAGTGCTTGTTTGGAAGAATTTTTAAAATAACTCAAAATGTTTTTGGTGAAATTGATTTTGGTTTCCAAAAGCTCCATATATGTGTTTTTTGCAGGAAGTACTTCAAGTATTTTTCTATGATCTACTTGGACTTTTACCAATGATTAATTTCAAAAACATTTTCATCAAAAGTGTTTTCAATCATTTTAAATGCATTTTCAAATGAGCCTTTAAACTCATCTAATTATAATAAGTAGGTTGATGAACATTACCAGCACTTGAGTACAGTGAGCAAAAACGCACCATTTTAGAAAAGCCCAAAAGTCGAAGAGAAGAGCCAAGATTGTCCAATCTATTTCACATTTATCGATCATTGATGTTGGCGAGATTAAGATGCTATGAAATCCAAAGATTAGCGGAAGAGGGAGAGGAGCACCATTAGATGATTATCCAGTTACAGGTGAAGGTGGGATTAGAGCACTATCAGTCACCGGTGAAGCAAGATGGGGATGGAGAGATGGGAGGGAGGAGGAGGCGATGTGGGAGGCTAGAAAACTTAAAGAGTCGGGTTTGATTAGTTTCTTAAAATTTTACTAACGAAGAGATACATATTTATTTTATAAATTTATTTGGGGTGATTATCAGAACCGGATCTCCTCAAGACTCAAAGGAACTAAGTCCAAGGATCAAATAATCCGGATCATTGAAATTTGATCTAATTGCTATAATTATTATAACTTTTAGATGGGCCTTCTGTTTATAGTCGTTTGATCAAATTTCAATGGCCCGTTTGATCAAATTTCAATGGCCCATGTCATTTGATCCTTAGACTTAGATTTTTGAGTCCAAAGGAGATCCGGTTCCGTGATTATCTACCTCAACTGTCACTACTCACTATACATTCTTTAATTGATGTGGCTATCCACTTCATCTTCCACGTAAGGTATGAAATTGTGGTATGTTTTGATGGTAAGAAATAAGAATAATATTATTCTAAAAACAAAGTGAACGCATGTGAATGTGAAGAAATTAGTTCACCTCATTCAGATTTAATTAAATTAAGAAAAATTTCTCAAAAAAAA